GAACATGTATGTATACAACTAATATTGTTAGAATAATATACACCATAATAATATACTAGAATATAAATCAATGATTTTTGTGTATAAATAATATGCATAAAAATGTAATTAATTTTAATATTTTATTTATTAACAATTCGTGCAGATAATTATGGAACAAATAGAAATTAAACATAGCAAAGGCACCGTGATAAGCGATGTTGAGAAGACAAGAAAAAGAACAAAACGTAAATGGCATCATTTCACCGAGAAGGTAAAGAAAAAAAAAGACAAAAGAAAAAGAAAGAAAGATGGAAGAGACGTCACTACTACAGTACCGTATTAACTATCATCAGGCGACCTGGTCCTATACCCAGGCGCTCAGTTTTCATGGCCTGGCTGTGGCCGCCCTTGCCCGGTCCAGGCGTGTATTCAGGGTTCAAAGCAAACGCAGTACAGGCAATCTTCAGGCAGGTGTTTGCTCAGGCACGATCCATCTAGGGTGCAATCCAAACAGGCCCGAAGAAAGTAGTATAGCTAGTTTCCCAGCTATGGTGCTGCTTTACGTATCTCGTAGATTAGAGACCAAGGAAGGAAAATATATGTTTAAAATTTATTTAGACAGTAGCCTTAGAAATACAACGAAAACATATTTAAGAATATTTTTCAAAATTAATTAGTGAAGGTAATCGTGCACAAGCTCATAATTTAAATCTTGAAATATTTTTTCAATTTAATTAGTAAAGGTAATCGTATTGACATTTTGTTTTTGTTTACCACATTTTATTTTGAAGAGATTATTAAGAACAAGCACACTATCTATTTTGAAGAGATTATCAAGAACAAGCTGTCCTGAGAAATTAGCTAGCTAGCAAATTTCGGGGGCTACGTCCTCCCGCCAGCGTCCAGTTCAATCTCAAAATAAAATTCGAAATGCCGCACGCTCTCGCGTGTACCGCACCCGGATGTGCCGCGCACTTGGCGCCCTCTCCAAAACTTGGCACTCTTCTTTTCTAAAAAAATGAACCCTAGCTAATCTATCCCTTTTCTCTCACACGCTCGCACCGCCGCCGCCCCAACAAGCGCCAACAGATGGAACCTCCTGTTCCTCCTCATACCCGTCTCTTCACCGCTCCTCCCATCCGAACCCTAGCTATTTCTTGTCCTCACCTCTCCTTCCTGTTTACAGCAGAGGCGCAGGTGGCGGTGGCGGCGGTGCACACGTCCATGGGCCTGTGAGCTGTGGTGCTAAGCCAGTTGCGGCGGTGCCCGGATGAGGAGGAGCATGGCGACGGTGCCGTGCGCCAACGGTGGCGCGGGGAAGAGCGGCTCGGCCTCTGCTTGATCCGGCCAACCGTTTGGTAGCCTCGGCCTCGATCCACCTCGATTCAGCCAAGGGCGGCGCCAGCACGGAGGAGACGACGACAGCTGTGGCCCTCTCCAACGCCGGCTCTACTTCTCCCTTGCAACGACAGCAACCTCAGCCCCCGCAGGTGCTCCAAATCTCTAACCCTAATTTCCATCCGATCTAATTTGTTTACCCGTGCTAGACATAGCCAGTCGGTGTGAGGTTCAGCTGTGTGCGTGCATCTTCCTCGGTCCGCACATGATTTTGGACAGATTTTCTCATATATTTCTTTTTCGTTTTAAGATTTCCTGCTGTTGGACAACAGGATGCTCCAAGACGGTTCTTATTTTTCTTCTGTTTTTTTACTATAAATTGCTCATGGTATATCATGCGTCCTGAAGTTATATGACTATGAGAGTTCTCTCTAGTTTAGTTAAAACTGTAAAATAGATATGGCACAGTTGAACCTTGCACAGTTGTATGCCTTTCTATCTATTTTGATGATTTACAGTTCTTCTATTTTCTAAAATTTTGCCTTCAAAACATTGCGATTCCCTGCTTATTTAACATCTCTGCTGATAGAGGTAGAGCAATCGTTTTTTTAGCAAATCAAACACTAAAATTACTATGCTTGCGTAATTCATTTGAAGTCCAAGAATAGAATCTGTTATGCGCACATTTTGCCTTCAGTGTTAGTGCGTTCCCTTTTTTTTCCCCAAAGGTTCGTTTTTCAATGGGGTCATATAGATTGTTCCCTTTTTTCTCAGATTGACTTCCCGCGCTGGGCCAATAGCAATGCTCAGCCTCAGTGCTGCTTCCTTCGACATGAGAGGTACTCCAAATCTCACGTCTTTATTTTTCAATTTTTCCTCTGTTTCTCGTATTCCCCCAAAATTGACTTGGTTTCCTATTCTAGGGTTTCTTCTTTGATGCCTGCTGCTGCGTTATTCATCTTCTTCGTTGATTCCTGGGACCAATTGGCGGTTCATAGCTGACAGGTAATTTCTCACATCTGAAATCCCTAACACCCCTTCTGTGTGAGTTCATCTGCTATCTAGCTATTGCTCATGTGTTATTGTTCATCAACAGATTACAAATTTCTGAGTGGGTTTGTTATCCATAGCGCAGGTCCCTTAGTCTATATTAAATTTAAAATTTTGATAGACAGAAAGACATATCTATGTCCTAGAAGACCAGATATGTTGTAGGGTGAATTTCAAGTAATTATGCAGTATTTTAGACTGATGCAATACTATTTATTATTTCCCTATCACTGCTAAACTATCTTCAGGAAAGTATGTGGTTACTGATACAACTACACTATATTAAGGTGTGATATATGATCATTGATGCATATGCTATTTCGTTACACTTTGCGTTACAAGTAGTATATTCAGCAGGGTCAATCATTAACATAAGTATTTCTCTTTTGTGTTGTAACTCTATATTGAAATGTTACTCTATATCTTTTCTAGGAGAATGGTGTAGCAGAAGTGGTCATGGTAATTCAAAGAAGCAAGCAATGCTTATAAAAAAAAGGTATTTGCTTTATTTAGCATATTCTCACATAATCTAGTCCCTATTGGCTTTAATATTGTTTAGATTTTTTAGAGAGTTCAATGTGTTGCACCAAATCAGAAAGATGGATTCCTTAAACAGAATGATCAATTGGTAAAATCTCTTATTCGTGAAATACTTCTTTATCTACAAAGGCTTTTTTATAATAATTCATGCTATTTTCATTTCTCCTCTTTACTAGAACAAAGAACCATGTGAGTCTACATATAGTGACGATGATGATCTATTTTTCTAATAAAAAGGTTATCAACTGGTTTGTTGTATTCAAGAATAATATACTCTTAGTTTGTTTATATGTCAATATTTTTTGCCTAGTGATTATGATTTACAAGAATTTGTATTGGAACTAATGCTAAGGTGACACTAATGACAGGGAATAATCCACAGTGGTACTCATGACTACAAAATATCCAAATAAGGTCTTTTGAGCACTAATCCAAAAACATATTTTGGTGGAGTTGAGACAAAATCAATTCTACAAAGTGAATATCAATCATCCTGGGTACAATAACATTGGTGATGCCCTTGCCAAAGGTGGTAACAATTGTTCGGACTTTGACATTTGTATGTTCGTACTAGCTTTTAAGTTTACATCAACTAACATAGATAGAATAATATTTAATGTTATAACTTTCTCTTTGCAGGTTGAAATGATTAATGGCTGAATTCTTATATTGATGTGTGCAAAAATAGATGAAGAAGCAATGGAATTTAAGAACACTAGATATCACACTTTCATTTTTAGTAGTAAGGGCTTGTACTCTTCAATACTATATGTAGTTGCTCTCAAGCTAGAGCCACATCGTTATGTACCTATACTGTCACTTGATTTGAACAAGTATTACGTTGAAATCTTCAAATAATTTGTGGATCTTGCTATGGTTATTGAAATTTGCGGCTCATGAGATTCTATAATGTGTCATATTTGTGTGATTCTGCAATGTGTAGCCCACATGTAAGGGTAATATAAATATTTTATTTTGAAAAGTTGAATGTGTTACAATAAGTAAAACATATGTTGTAAAGCATGTGTTACTCCATTCCACACTATATACTCTACTGCAATGTGGAAGTGTTTCTAGAACACTAAAAAATTGTTACAAAAGAAAATCACTGAAACACTAGACAATGTTACAGTAGATATGTGTTACAAACTATGTACTCCATCACATTATGAAAGTGTTACTATAGCTAAAAAAAGTGTTACAACAGAGAATCATTGTAACACTAGACAAATGTTCCAATAGATATATAAATGTGTTACAACATAGTAACACTTTTCTATATATAAAAGAACACATATTTCGTGTTACAATAGATCAGTCTATAGTAACATGGCCAATTGGAACATATAAAAAAATATGTTACTAAGAGAGCTAGTAACACTTTTTTAGCCTATAGTAACATAAGTTGGTGTTACTATATCCCCGTGTTGTAGTAGTGAGCGGACGTGGAGAAGAAGGGTGTAGATGCGGCGGTTACGGGGGCGCCGGCCTGTAGGGCGAGCAGAGGGGAGGCGAGCGTGCAACAGTGTCGGGGAGCGGATGCGGGGAAGAAGGGTGCGGATTGGGCGGTTGTAGGGGCGGGCGCTTTGGGCAGCGGCGATCGTAGGCAGGGAGGGCGACGGATGGAGTTCGAGGGGCAGCACACGCGATAACGTCAGGCAGGTACATGCGGGTGGGTAACAAGCCTCCAGAGTGAAAAAAGTTTTGCGGAGGCGCTCGTTTGCAGAGGAAACACGCGTGTTTCATATGTTCCTGAGATCCTTCTCTAGTGGATCCACGTGCAATCTTAGATGGGTAAGAAATTTTTTAGGTAACAATGAATTTTCAATAGATTCGCTCCTTTATAGTATATATATATATATATATATATATATATATATATATATATATATATATATATATATATATATATATATATATATATATATATATATATATATATATATATATATATACACACACACTCTCTCTCTCTCTCTCTCTCAGAATCCATCCAAACACAGGAGAGACAGGCATTACAGCAAGAGGAGCAAGCAACCGCGAAGCATGCAACATGAACAGAGCACATTAGGTGCGCTAGCACCGTAGCATTAAACAGTGCCAGCAGGCGTAGCAGCGGTTTCGCCCCTGCTTACGATCCCAGCATGGAAGAGCAGCGCCCAGAGGAGCGTGATTAGCTCGCCGCCCCGGGCGACGGCCTCCAAGTGCCCTTTCTCGTTCTTCGACGGCGCGGCGTACAGGATCATCTCCGACCAGAATCCGGCCAGCAGCTTCCACGTGGCCTCGTCGCCTTCGCCTGCGGCAGTGAAGTACTCCACCAACTCCGTTGCCAGCCTTGCACCATCCCTGAGCACCTCATGCCTTGAATTCTCACCCAGCAATTTCAGCAGCTGCTTATACTCGGCCTCTGGCGTGCCCGGCGCGGCGCGTCTGGCAGCAAGGGCGCGGCCAGCGTCCTTCTTGACGGCCTTGTACACGCTCTTGCTCCATGCAACGTCGTCAGGAAGTAGCTCAGGATACCAGGCCACCAGGTACGTGCAGTACCGTGACAGGTGTACTGCGGTGATCCTGTCATCGGATACAGCCGGCGGAGAGCCTTGTTCTTGTTCTTGGTCATGCTGGCATGGGTGCCGAGCCTCAAGGATGCACGTGGCGATGTGCCATGTAAGTATGGCATCTGATGTGCCTTTGCTATTGTAGGCCCCGGGGAAGTTCTCATGGACCCGGCTTCGGCGCAGAGATGCGCCGGTGCTCTTATGGCTCCTCAGGGCATCGATGATGCAAGCTTTCACCGCTGGTGATACTCTGACACTCCTCTCCTTGTCCGGCAAACGGAGGACGCGCCTCAGAAGTCCGAGTGGAGTGACTGTTCTTGGTTGAAGCACCAGTACTGAGCACTGGCCCATCTTTTCATTCCAATGCTTCATCAGCTTGCATCTGCATCGCAGCAAAAGGGCCACCCATTTCTGCACGGGTACAAAATGCTGCCAAGAGGTATGGTTTACGTACCAGCAGACGAGCCCTACTTTTGTCCAGTTGGAACAGATGTAAGAGCCTATGTCTCTGATCTCTGAGATCATGACCAACGTCACAATCAGAAACAGAAGCACCGCAACAAAATATACCCTTCCAAAGCTTTCAAGCTTCGTATGGCTTACCACATAATCTCCCCAGCACCAGTAAAGGCATTCCATCTGAGTGGTCTTCACTATGTCCTCCCAATCCGTCATACAGATCGCAAGCCCGAGCAAACATGCAGCCACGATGCAGTAACCTAGGCTCAAGAGTGAGATACAGAGACTCCAGATGTGCAGCCAACGCTTGGCATAGCAGATTGGAAGGGATGAGTAATAGTAATCATGAACGAAAGAAACCTCATCTGCAATCAACCGGAATATCCTCACATGTTCACCATCCTTCATCAACAAGCCCCAGAAAAAGTCAGTTGTCACCCCCTTAGAGCCAGCATTACCAAGCTTATACCTCGCGAATCGACAGCGCAGCAACTTGAACAAAGCAAATGACAAGCATAAGTCTTTCAGTAGCAGCGGTCTTGGAACAGCTAGTAGCGTGTCGTCCAACCGCCAAACTCTGTCAACTGTCACCATGTTTTTGACATCCTTCACCACATACCCCTGAGGCTGCTTCTCCACTTGTATTACTTCTTCTCCCATAACCATGAGTGGAGGAGGAGGTACATGTACATGTACATGCTGGCCATCACCTACAGGTGGTTCACCATGTGGACTTCCTTCTTCTACCTGCTGCAGTTGCTGACTGTACCCAGAAACAAGATGTGGATTGCGTCCGAGTGCAAAGGATCGCTGTGCATTTCTGAATGCATACAGTTTGAACACAATCTTAAAACAGATGAGAGCAGATGGAGAGAACTCAACGAAAAGGAGCAACAAGTCTCTGGGAAAATACACGTGCTTCTGGGCAATGCTGCTGGCACCAAGGTAAAACGTCCATACCCCCTGAACAAACAGCTCGTAAGGCGGAGGTATGTTTCGACCTTCTCTGTCATCAGCGGCGACTACTGTGCTGGTGTTGATTACAACAATCTGAACAAGGAATGCCCATGTCACGGTAGCCACCGAGTGAAATTCTCCTTTGCATTTAGCAACAAGGCCATCAAAGTGACCAAAGACCTCGGGACCAAAGACCCAGGGAACATTGCTGTAATTCTTGGACTTGCTGTCAGTGCTGGACACAACATAGGAGACGATGGGCAAGAAGAGCGTGGTGGCTCCGAGGAAGACGAAGCGGGTGAAGGGGTGATGACGGTAGCGCTGGCCGTAGGCGCCCATGGCGACTATGACCCCAGCCAGCACGACATCGGTTAATAGCATCGCGTTCACCCTCCACACCTGCCCTCTCATGCTCTTTCTGAAGGCCGCCACGAATTCATCGGAGCAGTGAAAGTCTGAGTCTGCGGTAGAATTTCCTCCAGCCATGATCCACGGGATAGCTGATTTGCCAAATTTCACCATTAGAACAAGATATACATAGTTCAATATTTGGCACAAACGCACAAGGAATTGATTGATTTTGCTTCAGGGCTTCTACTAGCTTTATCTAAAGAACATGGACAAGCAAGGAGCAAACTAAACTAGAGGGGGCTATAAGCTCGCACAACTATGCAAGCATACACAGCGAAGCCGAACGAAGCAAATTGCTTCTTAAATCTACAGATATTATCAGTAAATTCAAGGAGTTACCGTAGGTTTGGAGATCCCACTCACGATTGTGAGCCACCTGGTTTCTTAAGTAGGAAGAACATACAATGGCCGGGAGACAGCTACGATAAAACGACCCAATGAGAGACTGTGCAATGCGTGAGTGGAAGGTGCTCTAGGGCCTGTTTTGTACAGCTCAGTTTACCAAATTTTTTTTTGCTTCAGTTCCATAAAGCAGCTTCACTAGTAAAGCTAAAGCCATTTTTATAAACATTCAGTAAAACAGCTTCTCAAGGCAGATAGCACAGAGAAAGCTAGTATTTCTTCTAGCTTCAACAGCTTAAAGGTGATCGGGACGCAAAGGTGAAAATCGAATCTGTGGCCGGCAACGGAATATGCTTGATTGATTGGATGGGATGGCTTACCAGCTCACTGATTGTGTGAGAGAGATCACGCGCATGTACTAGTAGTATATAATTGTGGAGCTATGACTTGATATATATTTAGAACGACACATGTTATATACAACTAGTTGTCATGTCCACTTTGTATGCGCAGAGTGCTTTTATGTATATGTTAGTAAAACAAGAGAGTTTCAAGAAACCTTTTCTAGCTGTCAACACTGGCAGCCGGCTGCTGCTTCTGCTCTGCTTCTGGACGCTGGGAGCTGGAGGACGAACACTGCCCCATCTCTCTGTCGTTGTGCTTTGCTTGTTTCCTTGGCCGAAGAGCTGCAGGGGTGTAGTTGTATATATGCTGGGTTGGTTGGTCATGACTCATGACGAGGACACCATCTTATTTTCTTCTTTTTTATATTATCTCTTTGCAACTAATCGTAATAAGAAATACGACAAAGTTCCTCAAAGTATCATTACTTTCTAATTTCGGACTCAATTACATGTTGCACTTTTGTATGTACTTTTCTGATGGATTCATTAGCCGGCCTTTCAGATACCTATTCAAAAAGTGAACGACTGAGTCAGTGAGTCTTCAGCAAATGGATGAGCTTTGAAGTTTGTGTGGCGGGAGCGGGAGCCATTTTGTATAGCCAAGTGGAAGACAAACAATGGATTTTGCCATCAATTAGGGTGACCTCCGTATAACAGCTTAGTATATAGATAGTCACTGTCACGGAACTGCTACGGAAGCTATGCAGAGCGTGAAGTTTTTCCATTTAAATGCATTTTGTTATTATATACTCGCTCCATACTCAAAGTCATTTTGGACAGCGACACGGTCTCCAAAGTATTACTTTGACTCCTTATTTTTATAAAAATATTTATCAAAAAGTGATATATGTATATTTTTATGAAAGTATTTTTTAAGACAAATCTATTTATATGGCTTTCACATTTACAAACTCAACAACTTAAAAGGTATTCATGGTTTATATTCTCAATGTTTGACCCATGCCTTGTCCAAAACGACATTATTTTTTTAGTACAGAGGGAGTATCCCTTTCCTTTTAATGCTATTGTAGCATACTATATAAATATGCCAAATGTAAAATCATAAATACTCCATCGGTCCTAAAATATAACGGATTTTCAGTTGTCCTAAATCAAATCATTTTGAATTAACCAAGTTTATAGAGAACATTAATAACTTCTATCACATCAAAAAAGTAAATTATGAAAATACTTTTCATAATGGCTTTAATAAAGCTCATTTTTTGTTCTTTTTTTATAAAATTGGTCCAATTTATTCTGTCTTGACTTAGGGCAACTGAAAATCCACTTAACTTTAGGACGGAGGAGTATATTTAGAAAAGTAAAAGCAGCAAATAAATTGTTAAGATATGTCATGCTACTATCTAGGGACTACCTATAAGCCTCCACGACAGCAAAGTTTATACCCTGCTTGCGCAAATATAGGGTCACTTTTAAAGTTTAATAAAAAAATATATAGTGGAAGCATGGAGCTGAGTTAAAAATATATTGTGGAGCTATGACTTGATATATATTTAGAGCGACACATGTTCTATACAACTAGTTGTCATGTCCACTTTGTATGCGCAGAGTGCTTTTATGTATATGTTAGTAAAACAAGAGAGTTTCAAGAAACCTTTTCTGGCAGTCAACACCGGCAGCCGGCTGCTGCTTCTGCTCTGCTTCTGGACGCTGGGAGCTGGAGGACGAACACTGCCCCATCTCTCTGTCGTTGTGCTTTGCTTGTTTCCTTGGCCGAAGAGCTGCAGGGGTGTAGTTGTATATATGCTGGGTTGGTTGGTCATGACTCATGACGAGGACACCATCTTATTTTCTTCTTTTTTATATTATCTCTTTGCAACTAATCGTAATAAGAAATACGACAAAGTTCCTCAAAGTATCATTACTTTCTAATTTCGGACTCAATTACATGTTGCACTTTTGTATGTACTTTTCTGATGGATTCATTAGCCGGCCTTTCAGATACCTTATTAAAAAAGTGAACGACTGAGTCAGTGAGTCTTCAGCAAATGGATGAGCTTTGAAGTTTGTGTGGTGGGAGCGGGAGCCATTTTGTATAGCCAAGTGGAAGACAAACAATGGATTTTGCCATCAATTAGGGTGACCTCCGTATAACAGCTTAGTATATATATAGTTTAATATCTCTTAAAATGTACTATTCTGACTAGTGTGGCTTGTCTATCATTCATATTCGTCATCACTTAGTTCATTAATTCATTTCCCTAATTGCTGGTTTGGTAGTTAACAAAGAAGCTAGGCTTACTCTTCAGAATAGGACAATAGGCGATGGTTCCTTATTATCCAGTACTACCTCCATACTAAAAAAATAAAGTCGTTTTAGATCAGGCTTGGGTCAAACATTAGTAATATAAATCATGAATAACTTTTAAGTTGTTGAGTTTGAAAATGTGAAAACCATATGTATAGATTTGTCTTGAAAAATACTTTCACAAAAATTTACATATATCACTTTTTGATAAATATATTTATAAAAATAAGTAGTCAAAGTTATGCTTTGGTGACCGTGTCGCTGTCCAAAAACGACTTCATTTTTTTAGTATGGAGGGAGTATTATTTTTTTTCCACTTCATTAAATTTCTAATAGCATTACATCGAGTTACGGTGCTCCATACTATTTGGAAAGGACCAGTACAAAAACATCTGGCTGTTCAGATTAATCTTGTCTTGTTAAAGCTTTTATAGTTTAGAACCATATTTGGGCCAGCATACGTAACACCCTAAAATTTGCTTCTTTTGAAATATAGGTAAAAATATTTAATTTTGAATTTTTGTACTCATAAAACATAGGAAATAATTTTTTTATTAAATTAAAATTTACCATAAGGTGTAGCAACACTATTTTGCATACATGCTGGTGCATTTGTTTCTTTGTACTGAGTGGTTTTGGTTCAAAGTTCAAACCAATTCAAATAGTTTTTGAAAATAGATTTGAAATAAGCTTTGAAAAAGAAAAAAAAAGATCCTTCCCTTCTCTCAATCTGGCCCGGCCTGCTCCGCTCTCCCTCTCCTGCGGCCCATTCCAGTAGATGGCCCAGCACCGCCCGCTCGGCCTTCTTTCCCGCCGCGTCTCTGCTCTCTCCCACAGCGGCCCAACAGGTCGGCCTAGCCAAGCAGCGCGCATGTGCCGTTCTCCTCTTCCCGCGTGTGTCGCTGACAGGCAGACCCCACTGGTCAGCACCGTCTTCTTCCTATTGTGACCGCGTCGGACACGACCGTCGCCTCCGACTCCGCAGTTGTTACGCCTCCTCCTTGCCGTGTAGCCCAAGGCTCCCCGCCCCCATAAATAGCAGCCGCCGACCCCACCGCTCTTCCTATTCCGTTTTGAGCAACAGCGCCTCGCCGAGACGCCACGCACCGAACCCTAGCTTCCGCCGTCGCAGGCTGTGTCACCGCCACGTTAAGCCTCTTGCCGAGTTTCACCAAGCGCCATAGAAGGTCCCGGTTCCGTTTTCCCGCTTTTCCTCCCTCTCTCTTGCTCGCTATGTGCCGCTGGATTTTGTAGAGCCCCGCCGTCCACCGTCCTGAGCCTCCGCTCGCCTTTGCTTGCTCGCTGCCGTCTCTGAACCCATAGTCAAGATCGTAGTCATCTCCTCTTCCTCCTTGTGTGCTTGATTTGGCCGATTAAGCCCGAAATTGGTAGAACGACGAACGTCGGCGAGGTCCCCTGCTTATTCCGGCCATGCGCCGCCGCCCCGCTCACTGCCGGCGACGTCTCCTAATCCTGGCCGCTCAGATTCAATCCAATGGTCGAGATTGCGTGGTACTCCTTCGCTGTGATTCTTTCAAAAGAACCCTGTCTTTTCCAAATTTTGAACCCAACGTCCCTACGGTTTTATAAAGAGCCCCAGTCTTTCTTAAAAATAGTATCCGCAGTCCCTGGTTCAGTTTAAAATCCGATTTTATTTATTTTAAATTCGAAAGTCAAGTTCTATCTATTTATAAAATTGTCATTATCTTCATTAGGCCATATCTTCTCCGTTTAAGTTGTGTTAGATTTATAATGACATAAACTACGCATTGGTATCAATGTTTTCCATGTCAAGAGCACTGGAATTTTATGGTTTAACGCCTAACTTGAATAATGATTATGCAATTGAATTTTTCTAATTAAAAGTAACTTAGGCTTTTCACCTTGGTAAATTATATGATTAGTTTTACCTTGTTTTTCTAAATCAAGTATAATTTGACTTAACTCAATGAAGGTATTTCTTTAAAGTATCTTATACATGTTTTATATAGCTAAAATAAATAAAGCCTATAGTTTCTTTTTAAAAGTAAATCTATCGATAGATGTATCTTTTTCATCGT